TAGTTTATTAAATTTCATGCATCATTACACTCGCCAGGAACAATTTTAAAATCGAAACTGTTGTAAACGGGTTTCTCGTACTCAATGACACATTACTTTTCGCGGATCTTTAAACTCTTAATGAAAAACAGGGTGAGCATTAACTTCAGCTGTAGAAAACTGAACATAGCGCCATATAGGAACTGACATAAATATCTAATATTATAATTCTTACCATCTTCTGCCTCAATCGTCTCCACAGTTACCCTTTCTGTCCTACATTTGAAGTGACGCAAAGGAATAATATACAAAAACAAGAGTTAAGAGTGGGATGGTTACTATAAAATAGTGGCTTTTATTAAGTAATTACCTGGTTAGATAAGATATGTATGTCTAACCACCTAACAGTCTGTCAGGATGTTTGTCCGTCCGTCCGTTCGTCTGTCTAGTACTTTAACTTTGTGACTGTAAGTATAGTATCATAAGCATAATGTTACTGGAACATGCTAAAGCTAGTGTTACTTTGGTAATATCGTTTATTGTATTTAAACAAATAGGATAATCATATTTGTCAAAGAAAAAAAGCTCATAGTAATTTAAATTTTTTTCTGAATTAAACTTTTTTCTAATAACGAGATTGCGAAAAACAAATAGAATACTTGACAAAAGGACTCTCAGGACAGGAATATATATATATATATATATATATATATATATATATATATATATATATATATATATATAGATATATATATTTAGAAGGACAATTTCTCGCTTATTAGTTAATTAAATTTGCTGTTTCTCGCCTTAATTGTACTTTTGTATAAGGATATTACATTTTTTGTACACTAGTATCTAAAGAATGCAAATTTCCGTTTCAATTGATTATGCTCGAAGACTTGTACATGTAGATTTAGTCACTGTCCGAAAAATAGCCCATCATCGAACTTGTTATTTATTTACAGATCAAATTTAATGCTAGGTCTATTTGTTATATACTGCATTTACAGTTCTTAAAGGCTGTTAACTTCCGGTCAGATATTCATCAATGAGAATTAAGAGGCAAGAAACGGAAAACAAATAGTGAATATACGCGTTGGTTTTTCCTTACTTCGATTTATGCGTTTCTATACATATTATGGTTACGAGAACTAAATGGATATGGCAAGTACGTAGTTTGCTTACAGATTTCTGATATGATCGTACCATCAGGTATCTCAAAAATGATGTTTTGAAATTGACTGAATTTAAGTCCTTTACTTAAAGCCCCGGCAAAAGAGAAGAATTTTCGAAATGGAGGAGCATCAAAGCAGAACTGACTGACAACATTTCTTGTCATGGAGACATGAAAAACATAAGCGAATATCTTTAATTAAAAACCATTTTAAAAAATTTCCAGCAAGAGAAATTTTGCATTGTAAAGCCATAAAAGTGTCAGAGCAGATCAAGCAAGACGCATATCGACAAAGCAAAGTTCCGTAAGTCTGGTCGCTTTACATCAAATAATACACGTTGTTGGTTTCAATGGTTTCAAGGAACCCCAGCAGAATGCTATCAATATGACGCCAACTAAAGATAAAGTTCGCGTAATGTAAAATAAAAACTTGAAAAAATAAACTTGAGGACATTAAATAATGGAGTAAACATCCAGAATTTGTTCTTGCAAAATACAAGACAAAATATCTTAAGTGAGAAATTTTGACGAGCATACTTTTTCACTTTTGTTTTTGGATCCAGCTGTTGTTTTTGTTGTTGTTAAAAACAGAATCTTTATAGACCCAATGAAGAACGGTGATCTATATTGTAAAGATATACGTTCTTCGTCCCAATTTAGATCTAAAGAACAGTGATTTATAATTAACTTTTATTTCTTATAATTGCAATCCAAAAATAAAAGATGACCAATATACTCTCTCTCTCTCTCTCTCTCTCTCTCACACACACACACACACACACACACACACACACACACAAACACACGCGCGAGCGCGCACACACACGAAACATTGGTCATTATGGATAACCGTGGGTTCGAGTATATCGGGTTTGGCCAATGTGGTTATATGAAAAAGTTTACCATTAGCTTCCCTTGGGTCGGTGGTTCATAGCGGGGTTTTTCCATGTTCTACCTCCACCAATTAGTAATGCTGGCCGCCATGTAAAGCCTATCTTGCGCTGATAAATGGCGTTAAACCGAAAAACCACAACAACATTAATGGGAGATGAAACGTTCTGTAAATTATCTTCTCTTAAAATCAATAATTAAATCCCCGGTACGATCCTTTATCATTTTAAATTTTCAAAAGTAAATTAACCTATTCTTGGTATTTACTGTGGGTCCAACATTATTATATATACACGGAAAAATATCGCTTCTTTCATCATAAAGAAAAGTGACCTGTTATATTCTCTCATATTCACGCGTTTCTACTGAACTTGGATGAAAACGATGATTGCTGTATTTATTACAGCCTATCTGCTACCTAAACCTCATCTGACGCACATCTGCCATTTTACTTATAAAATAATGCACAGTCGCTTCTCCACCGCTACAATCTCCTCAGTGTACAGGATGCAATTCCTGTCATTAAACAGGAACTTATTTGCGCATCAACAGGCTGTGTCTAAATGCAAAACGTAATCAAAGTCGTTTAGATAAAAACGATGTAAGTAACAATGATGAGAAAAGATAAAATAAGCACAGAAAGGTTGTTTCCATCAAATTATATCAAACAGAAAACGGAAACTATTAAATGAATTTTCAAGTGAAAATAAAACGAAAACAAGTATATTTGAAATATCCTGTCTGTTATTATTGTGGATATTCGGGAGTTAAGTTTATATGTATGCAAGAGAGATTACAGGTAGTTCGTCATATGTGTGATCTGCAAGGGAAAATCTATGTGATTGAGTTTTCTTTTATGATCCACCCGTCTTTTCTGTTATGCTTTGTATGATTGGTACATTGTTACATATCTTCTCTCAATTCTACAGTGTTCATAATCAAACTGACATTCGCAAAAGCATTCATACTAAATTCCGGTCCGCGTGGAAACAAAACGTTCACTGCATATACAAGAAACTGTTAATGCAACGTTTTAAAACAATATTCTATAAAGTTTCAAAGAACAAGCTAAATAAACATTTATTGATATAGGCATATTATATTCTTATGCTGCTAAATATTAATTTAAACCGAAGATGTTCATACATTGCAGGAAAATAATAAATGTTTGACTGTTACATTATTGAAATTGATCTCTAGCTGCGTGACACGATGGGTTCAATGGGGAAAATCACTCAGAAGTAAAGAAATCAACTTTACAAAGAGACTGATTATTTCATCACGTTGATCATTTCTGGAAGTGTTTTGTTCATTAAATTTTAACAAAGAATAAAGAAAAAGGAAAAGGAGAACAAATTTTGCAGTGTATAAATGATTCGTCCGCGACATTTGACGAAATATTCATTGCAAAAAAAGCCAACTCAGCGAGAAATGCTGATAGATGATGAACTAATTACCTAATGTAAAACTTACCTGAAAAAATGTTGGCCAGCAGTGTCATTGGGACGACAAATAGAGCAACAAGAACGTCAGCAACAGCCAGGTTCAGGATGAAATAATTCGTTATATTCCTCAGAGTGGGGTCTTTGTATATTACGGTGATGACAAGGGTATTCCCCACAACAGCAAAAATAAATACTAATCCATAAGCGATAGAATACACGATGATGAGGTGGATCGGTTGCTTAACAAGTGGAACTGGATCCATTGAATAGCTAGTATCGTTTTCATTAAAGTGAAATGTATTTCGTTCCGTAAAGTTTGTAGTCTCCATCGTCTCAAAGAGTGAAAGTTTTATGTGCCTCTCGAATGCGACTGTTAGACTGCACACAAGCCTCTCCGCTCGCCCAGTTATATTTTAGTCTTATTGATTGATCGGCAAATATTATACACCTCCACCTCCGAAAGTACAAACAGATCAGCTATGCGAGCCGCGCTAGATTTCAATTGATATCCAATCGATTTGAAAAACCACTCTGACGTCATAGGAGACAGTCGTGCAGGTGATTCTCAGATACAGGAAAAGGGTAAGTTTCAGCCTTAAAATTAGAAATTTGACATATTAGATCCTCAAATAGAATTATCACGATGATAAAATAGTCATTAAAATGATAACTCATCGAGACACGGGCCTTGGTACACCTACACCCAATTGCCGAACAGTTATAATTATGAACCTTTCAAATGTCACCAATTAACCCATACGGAACTCTGCAAAATTAATAGCAAACTCCTTGCACACGGGCATCATCTGAGTCATAGACATTCTGAACCAGACTCTGGCTTCAAGAGAGCGAATGTCAAAATTAACAAGCGCTGGTACATCTCTGCCGGTAGCAGGTGTGCGGAGGAAATTGAAACAGAACCGGTTTGTTGGAAAATGCTTAGTTACATAGGAGTCAGAGTGTAACAGATTAATGGTAACTGGCATATAGTAGTTTTGGCCTCACCATAGATTTTGTGTGAAGTTTTCGCACTTACCGTATAGCTGATTGTATCTACTTCTGACAGAGAACTTACAATAATTTCTGCGATAAATTATTGGTGAGCTTTTGATGAATAACTTGATTAGTAGATTCTTAAAATTGTGCAAATTTCTTCATATATCGCTTTGATAAAAAGAATGACGGTGCAATCGAACCCAAATAGTATATGTCTAAAAGCAAGCAAAAATTGCGAACATTGTGTGTGTTTGTACATGTTTGCGTGTGTGCGTGTGTGTGTGTGTGATTTTGGATTTTTAACTTATCTTTTACAATTTTCCAGTCATATCGTTTTGATGTCCGCAGTGTGGCAGTTAATAGTGATGTCTAGCATTGTGACATCATGTCGCAGACAAATAGCATCATGTCCCACACAGTCACATTTTTCCTGATAACTGGTCAATCAGTCCTAATGCTTAATGCTGAGCGCCAAGCAAGTCAGCTGCTAGTACCATTTTTATAAATCTTTGGTATGACTCGTCCAGGGTTCTAACCTAGGACCTCACGCATCCGAGGCGGATGTTCTAACCAATTAGACCACCGAATTAGTTTGTAAATATAGTAAAACAACATTTTAAAAATCTTATGAAACCTATGAACCTTCCTTGTGTATCAGATGTGTGATACAATCGCATCATATAATTAAACTGTCACAGATTTGCTATTTTCTAAATCCAACGATCAAGGGCTGTGTTACAATAAACATAATTAATATTTAAGGTAGTCACGTTTTAAATAAGATATAATGGGGAAGGGTGATCCAGATCATTGCAGTCCGAGTGTTAATCCTTCTACCTGAGTGGTTCAAGCTTGTGTCCCAGCCTGACGATCATTATGCTTACTGTACAAGATAATTCTCTCTGTACGAAATAGATAACAGTGCTGGGAGCTATCACAGATACAGTTACCTTTGTTATTTATCCTGCTTCATAGTTATTTACGGTACGAAAAAGAGCTTAATATAGCTAATGTTAACTCTTTGCACAACTAGCAAAGACTGGACTTCATTTTAATTTATAACAGTTCAACAAATTGGTCCAACATGAAAGCCTTCGTGTGGCGCCTCATTTGTTAGCTTTATTTACATGGGTGCTGGTCTAAAACTGTGCCTTTGTTGTCCCAGATTGAGTTGGGGGTAAATGTTCGTTTCAGTTTAAGAAATCATCAACTTTAAAGTTCTTACTGGGTTAAATTTTATTGCAAGCACAATCGCCGGCATTGAGTGCAGGTCGTTAACAGGAAAGATTAGTTCACTTAACAACAAACATTTTACTAAATGTGTCCATTGTGTTAATACGTGTCCATTGTGTGAATAAGTGTCGTGCAAGTGTAAATAATGTGGTGTTTAGAAAAAAGGCATGGTCCTACACGTTTTGTTGATGATCAAAACTATGCTTCTACAATACTAAATCAGTAATTGTGTTGTATTTCATCGTCGTTTTTGTATTTTTCTTCATTGTTGGTATCATTGAAAAAAAAACTTCATGATCAACGTCAACACCACGTTAATATAGCGACTTCCAACACAATAATTATTATCACTGATTATCATGTTCATCAATTTTATTACAGTTGTCGTTGTAGTCGTTGTCACCATCGTTCTAAGTAGCAGCATTGGCAATGAGGCAGTTTTCAAGATCATTTTTCCACTCTAATAACGGCAAATATTAATAAGTTTTTTTTATTGCCTCTTTGTTACTTCAGTAGAAGTGTCTGCTTGATTAATTTATTGCATTATGTCCTTGTTTGTTCCAAATGGTACTCAAAACAGCGTTGCATCCGTGTAGTTAAATTAAACAGACACAAACGTTTCCTACGCCGGATATTTTGACAAATTCATATTCTTGTATTCATAAATAGGGCTTAACGACACATGATCACAGTCCTGGTAATACAGTGTCAATGAAGCTTGAGTATCCGAATAAAGACACACAGAACAAAATTAAAGCAAAAAAGGGGCACGATACATACATTACGAAGAGATGCTATTATCATATAGATTAAGATGAGTGTGGGGTGGTGGGGGTGGTTGTGGGTTCTACAATTTCAAAAGGGTCATGACCTTTCTCGAAAAGACACCAAAGCAAAAGTCTGTGCTCTGCGTCTATTTACTCAAAGCGATCATAATAATCTATAGACGTGTGCAAGAATAAAACGATGAACAAAATTCAAGTGATTGTACGGTGTGTCAGTGCGTGTGCGTTTCTTCAGGGTGCGGTAGAGTTTCCGGAAACCCCCACAACACCCACACCCCATCTCTCCCTGCATATTATAATATTTTAATTGGTACCCTACGGAGATTCAAACCTTGGTTAATGGGTTACGACACCCATCGTCTTGCCCGCACGCTTCCCCATACACTCTCTATACCATCTCGACCATGCATACATACAGGAGTGCAGAGTGACCGTGTACTTAGAGTATCGTTTAGTGAGGGCAGTTTCTCTCAAAATCTGATGGATTCATTTATGGCATAGAATAAATTGTTGCATGAATTATGGGGTAGTTTATAATTTGCGATTTATCGATTGAACTTTTCTCAGAAGTTATAAATCCGATGGTAGGGTAGCACATCAAAAGCATTTAACGAGATAGCAATGTATGACATAAGAATTAAATATGGGCATCAAAATTCATTATGCCGTTTTTATTACTGCATTTTATATCTATGTCAACAGTTAAAGGGCAATGTGACATGCAATATTTGCCTAATCAACTGAATTGGGTAATGGCTAGTAACAGCTGGTTGTGCTTGTTTGCTTGTGGTGGTTTTCTGGGAATGTTTGGTGTTTAGGTAATTGGATTAAACTTAATTTGGTGTTAGCGCGTTCTAGAACCCTTCATTAACAATCTTCTGTCATTGTGTCCTTTTAATTCAAGGGAAAAAACTCTGGCCATGTGACTTACTTGAGCTCCATCTTGATCTGAACTTGGAAACTGGGAAAGGACATTATATCCACGTCACTATATGCTTGTTAACCACTGGATTGTAATTATTACTAAATGTTAATAAAAGTCGTAATCAAATGCTTAAAAACGTACGCCATGTCTGAAGAGTCAACGTTTTACATAATTTATTTGCTCTTTTAATTAATGGTCGTATATTTTTGTTTTTATTTGAATTATATTTTATACATCCCATTTGTCATGCTTTACGTTTGTTTCTTCTAAAATTATTTCATTGTTGTTTAGTAGAACATTTTCTATTCAACATCACTTATAATTACGCCGTGTATGAAAGACACTTTTGCGTAGTAATAAAATTGGACACGTAATTTGATTACCAAATAGAACATATGATCACAAAATATTCGGAAAATGGTAGACATATTCAGAAAGCAGGAATCTCGATATCCATTGTCACAGATACACTATATGGACCTAGATTACTTCTAAATATCGTCACTTATATGTATGACGTGACAACTTAGGTGCCTGTTACTATTGATAAGGACCAGAAGTCTACCGCTTAATTAAAAAATAGTTCCATATAATCATAATCACACACAAACGAGAGAGTACAAACTTTATTTCTTTTACACTGAAATATTTTACATTTGATTTTCTTTTCTAGCTACATTTATGACTGACGCTACCTTCATCAGATATTGCATTACAATGAACACCTTCTATTACAATACATTTAACTCGTTTCTTTGTTACTGGGTCAGTGTAAGTTTTGGCACTAATATGTACCAATATTTCAACGCGGTCATTCTAATGGTACTATTTCGTCTACATAATGAGAAACAGATAGAAAGAGAGAGGGGGTTGGATGAGCACAGAATATTAATCAAATTTATGTTAGCGAGAACATTAAAATAATACCATTATTATTATTTACGTACTCGAAACAGAGTCGAGCATGTTACCAACCAAATGAAAAGACTCCAAACCATATACATTGGGTTAGGAATCAGTCTAACTTCAAGAATCCAAATGATACAGTGGGGCGAGATATCGGTAAACGATAAGTCTCGAAAACATACAGCAGGGTGAACTATCAGCCTAACGACAATACTCAAAACCATACAGCGATGCAAGTTAACAACCTAACGAAATGACTCCAAACCATACAGCGGAGCCAGGTATCGGCCAAATACAAAGACTCCAAATAATACAGTGGGGTGAAGTATTGGCCTAACTACAAGACTCCAAATAATACATTGGGGTGAAGTATCGGCTTACTATAAGACTCCAAATAATACAGTGGGTGAGGTATCGGCCTAACTTGAAGACTCCAAATAATACAGTTGGTGAAGTATCGGCCTAACTACGAGACTAAATAATACAGTGGAGCGAAGTATCGCTCTAATTACAAGACTCCAAATAATACAGTGGGGTGAACTATCGGCCTAACTACAAGACTCCAAATAATACAGTGGGGTGAAATATCGGCCTGAATACGAGACTCCAAATAATACAGTGGGGTGAAGTATCGGCCTAACTATAAGACTCCAAATAATACATTGGTTGAAGTATCGGCCTAATTACGAGACTAAATAATACAGTGGGGCGAAGTATCGCACTAATTACAAGACTTCAAATAATACAGTGGGGTGAAGTATCAGCCTAACTACAAGACTCAAAATAATACATTGGGATGAAGTATCGACCTGCCTACAAGACTAAATAATACAGTGGGGCGAAGTATTAAACTAATTACAAGATTACAAATAATACAGTGGGGTGAAGTATCGGCCTAACCACAAGACTCCAAATAATACAGTGGGTGAAGTATCGGCCTAACTATAAGACTTCAAATAATACAGTGGGTGAAGTATCGGCCTGACTACAAAACTCCAAAAGATACAGTGGGGCGAAATATCAGCCTAACGACAAAACTCAAAACCATACAGCGTGCAAGGTAACAGCCTAACGAAAAGACTCCAATCGACGAAGTTGGGCCAGGTATCTGCCAAATGAAAAGTCCAGAAACCTTACAGTGGGGCGAAGTATCGGTCAAACTACAAGACTACAAATAATACAGTTGGGTTTGAAGTTTCGGACTAACCACAAGGCTCCAAATTACACAATGGAGCGAAGTATCTGCCTAACGTGATTTTAAGTAATTTTGCATCGTTATGGTATATGCCCTTGGTTAGATTCGTTTTTAGTTAACGGAAACTTGAAAATGCTATACATAGTTTTTAGATCAGGTCTACTAATTTATTTGTACTTACTTTTCCTCTGCAGTTTCTAGCTCATCATGCTGCATCTTTAAGGATTAGCTCTTCACACGCCATTGTTAATCTTGTCTCCATTTTCCAAATTTCAAAATTTCATTTTCATTATCAGAAAAGCAAAGTAATATAATTTGGCTTTGTTCTGAGATTAATAAATGTGTAATTAATTCGTAACATGTCATCGGTATAAGATGACCTTCCTTCACGTTTGTAACCGGATGTCCGCGGTATTAGGCTATCTGTCTTCATGTTTGTACCCGGATATTTCAAGATTCTTGCGTTTGTCAAAAATGTATATGTACAAATACAACTCTGCATATGAATTTTTAAAGTAATTTAGAAAACGTACTAAAATGTTTTG